ACATAACACTCACAATCACATTCTTCGCAAACAAGGTTTCAGTTCGGAATGTTCTCGCATTTGTAATGCTGGCGCCACTGAAGCGTTAAGCAAGTCAGCACATTTCGAATTTATCAGTGGTACCAGTTCGTTTTAGGTCAATTTAGTAGTTGTGAGCTCTTGAAATAAGGAGGCAACGCAACAAATCACCTTTCATTGTTTCTTGGGAATGCATCCCACATACTAATCTGACGAATACGGAAAAAAAAGTTATTGAAAGTGATGATGATGGTCCCACCGCTTACCCCTACAAAGATTTCAGCTGGAAGATTTATCTTTAAGATAATTAAGTATCAATCCTTTAAATTTGTCGAACCTCTTAACGGAATCCCTTTAGGAAGAGCTTTGAGTGTGTTGGTTTATTTCCTTTAAATTCCGTTATTGCTCATGTTTTGACAGATACGCGTATTTCGTCTACTACTTGCAGACTGCATCAGTGCCAAGTGGTGTTGAGTACTTGGCACTGATGAAGTCTGCAAGTAGTAGATGAAATACGCGTATCTGTCAAAAGATAAGCAAATATATCGGTATTTAAAGGAAATAAACCAACCCAATCAAAGCTGGCACGTCATGGCGAGCTAGAGTTATCTAGAAGAATTTGCGTTTGGTTCTGAATATGGCGATGAGTGTGCAAAATATTACGCAATTCTATCCTCCCTATTCGCACGCGCCCGAGGATCGGAGGCGAATGCCACTTCGACTTGTTTCGTCTACTTACTACTCTCTGACGACTGTTCTGGGGAAGCAGCATATGCATGTAGGTAATTGGTGGATTCGTTAGTTATTTCGACGCTTTTGGACAATGCTGGAAATTTACCAGTTTTTCAATAGTTTCTTGTTGAAAATCAACATTCGGAAGCATTTTTTATCGATGCGTAGCCATATTTAGGATCGATTTGTGATAAAATTATTAAAATTGGACCAGGGGCAGCTGAGTTATTAACGTTCAAAATCTTTCTTAATTTGTTACATGTTCCATTTTCGGTTTTCACAAAGTGTACCCCCATATAGAAATCAAAGACGTAGTCCTAAGTCAAAAGCTTCAGTGCACACTGTGTTCACCCAACAAACAATTTGAGCTGATTAAAGAGTGAATAAGCTATTTTTAGCTGAAGAACCATATTTTTGCCTGAATAGGCTCTTAATCAGCTTGCAATGTTTGTTGGGCACTCTTTTGTCCATCTCAAATATTCACAAGCATTCCCAGCGATCAAGAGTTTTTTGAATAATCAACAAAGCATTATAATTCACTAGGAACCCCGCAATTTGATGATATTTTAATTTTCAGTAACGCCAGGAATGCATTGAATATTACATTCGAAAAGCTGCACATATGTCGTTCTGCTTAGTGTAATATAACGCTGTACGATGTACACAGAATTTGACAACAAATCATTTTAATGAGTGTAATATTGTATCCAATTTTACAATCAATGAGTTCAATTCATCATCACGAATAACATTGATTGATACACATTATATTTGCTTGCTGTGTACATATTAAAATGATGGGCGGTGGTAGAAAGGTGATACATTATCACGATTAAAAGCTTGTTTCCAGCAAAATAAAAATTACGCAAAACAAATCCCTAAAAATAGACTGAGCTTCTGTCCTGCGGATCATTTCTACTAAATTCAATAAATTCTGAACCCTTCGTAAAACCGGCATCACTGACTTGCATTTGTTTTGTTTTTATTCAACACAGCTGACACGTTGACAGAACGAGGGAAAAGAAACTAGTGAAAAAATTGCATAGACGAGGGATGCTTCGGTTGCAAATCAATGCTTCGGAATGTGCAAGATAGAGGGTGCTAGCGAAGACAAGTGAAGGTGGAAGCTGCGCTTGAGTGAAGGTGGAAGCAACGCATAGAAAAATGAGCAAATACTCAAACCCTTCTTCTGAGGATGTAATCTTTGCTATCAAATTCGTTCGAAGCATTTACCTTTGAGCGGCAGATGACGCTATTGTACCTGTCTCATAGTGTTCGTGCGAGAAAATGGAAGAGTTGCCAGCCTTCTTGATGTGTTGTCTTCGGTGCTAGTGTGCATACAAAATACGCTTGACGATATTTTTTGAAGAATTTTCTTTTAAGAGTTATGTCTGTTTGTCTGGGGCCTCCCTTAGCTCAGTCTATAAAGGCGCAGCTACAAAGCAAGACCATGCTGGAGGTGGCTGGGTTCGATTCCCGGTTCGGTCTAGGAATTTTTCGGGTTGGAAAATTTCTCGACTTCCCTGGGCATAGAAGTATGATTAGACTTGCCACACAATCATATCAATGCAAAAATGGTACATACAGGCATCGAAAGCTCTCAATTAATAACTGTGGAAGTAGATGCACACTAAGTTGAGAGCATGCAATAAGCTAATATGCGATGTGCAATAAGCTTGAAATTCGAAGAAGAAGAAGAAGAAGAAGAAGAAGAAGAAGAAGAAGAAGAAGAAGAAGAAGAAGAAGCCTGTTTGTCTGTGGTTGAAGTGTAAGCAGTTAAAATTGAATACAAGTAAAACCAAATTTATGGTAATTTCGCGGAATCGATTAAATGAGAACGTCTCTGTTGTAATTGATGATGAGACTATTGATCGCATTCGGGACACTAAATATCTTGGCGTGATTATTGATGACACACTTAAGTTCAACTCTCACATTGACAATGTCATCAAAAAAATTGCCAAGAAGTATGGAATTCTATGTCGACTGAAAAACGATTTAACTTTTGCCAGTAAAATACAGCTATACAAATCAATCATCTCTCCTCATCTAGACTTTTGCCCTTCCATTTTATTTTTGGTCGTTTGATGTATGCGAGATGTAATAGATTCACTTCCTCAACTTTTATGCTAGACGCATTGGCGTAGCTAGACAATTTTTCTGGAGGGGACCTAGATAATTCTTGAGGGGGCCTAGATGATTCTGGAGGGGGCCTGGCCCCCTGGCACCCCCATTAGCTACGCCAATGTCTAGACGCCTTACAATCAACAATCAATACGAAACTAACGATTTTAAATTGGCTCACCACTTTAGTAGCCTATTGGTCCCAAGCAAACGATTAACGTACCCTATTCTAGTTGAAATTCTATTACTACACTATGTTTGTTTTGATTCGCTATGAAAGTTTGACAGATAACATCAGGGGTGTGTGGATTCATGCAGAACATGCAGGGGTGAGTGAAATAGCTTGGGACTGCTTGGGACCGTTGTTCTGGTACTGAGTGAGCCAAAAATAATAATGATTTTCTTCGGGACCCAGTGGTCTTAGAGTTACCTCTATGTTACAATGGTTGTCGGTGAAGCAAAGAATTTTATATTTGACTATAGTGTTCATTTTTAAAGTAGTTTACTGTTTGCTGCCTCGAAGTTTGTGTGATCGAATTGAAAGAGGAAGTGACTTTCATACATATAATACTAGAAACGCGGTTGAAATAAGAACACCACATTTCTTGACTTGTGCTTCACAAAATTCATTGTATTATAAAGGAATAAATGTTTTCAATTCGATGCCTAGACATATAAAACGTTCAGCAACACTTACCGAATTTAAAAGACACTGCATTTCACACGTTGAACTGTCTTTTGAACAGTTATCCAGTGATTTTTTTTAATTGACAAATTATGTGTCTTGACGAAGTTATCTCTAACGGATTATTTTGTATGGATAGCTGTTATAACGACTTTTTGATAATTATTGTAGCACTGCAAAAACTATTTTGTTCGCCAAGATAGTGATGATGGATTTTTAATAATGTAATAGCAGTAAATTAAAAAAAAAGTCTACAAAGGTCTTAAACCTCGCGCGCGTATTACGGATATAGAGGACTGAATTTAACATTTGATAAAAATAAAATGCAATTTTGAAGCTTATTTGGAAGATACCTTGAGTTAGTAGTAAGTTTTCTGGCAAATGTCGGGGGTTCGTGAGCATTTCTGACATTGCTGAAAATTATGATAGCATCAGGTGGCGGGGTTGCTAGTGTAATAGGATGCTTTGTTGATTGTTCATTAACTCTTGATTACTTGTAATAATTATGAATATTTTAGGTGGAAAAAAAGACGAACTAAGAGGTGGACGCCTAGGCCTTTCAACATTTATATCACTGTAAAGCAACTGTAAACTCTAGAGGAAATTCATATCTGTAACTGTAACCAGTTCGATTTTGTTTGCAAACCTGGTTAAATTGTCATATTTAATTATCTTAAAGATTAATCGTCCAACTCAAACCTTTGTAGGGGTATGAGGTGGGACCATCATCGTCATATTGCAATCGTACATATGGAAAACATCGATATGGCTAACATACATTGTTTATTGTCCGATCACCGATTGCAGCATTGTTAAATACTTCAAATTGAATCATATCCTAAAATCCTTCACCGGCACCGATTATTTAAGAAAAATAAGTTAAAGCTTAAAATTTTATAATTTTGGTTCTAGCTCCAACACGTGTTCCATTCCACCTAACGCATCGAAATCACCAAATTCAGTCCCACCTGTTGCATGTTTTTAGGCGTACCTATATTTCATGCATCAGAGTCTCTCCTATAGTCATCTCTTTCCAGCACACAACGTTAAATTTCATGCCTCTGTAGCTGACGTTCCCCTCTAGCAGTTCACTTTGATAGAAGTCTTCAGTACGCAGCCCTTCCATCATGAACTCCAATCGAGGGACGTTTCAATGTTGCTTCGAGGAATTTTCATTCGTTCACTATATATTTTGACAACCATCAATCGACCCCTTGTTCCACATGAACCGATTCATCCCCCAATCAGCAGCGGAGGCGCAGAGTGTACCTGTTGAATATCAATGAAAAAGCACAACCGCGGCTTGTGCCCATGACCCTCCCCCCCTTCCCCTGGCAAGTTAGTATATTTGGACTGGCTGACGGAATTCATCCAGCACCGTTCAGTTAGTCGCACACTTTCGTCGGACTTGGACGTATCGTCGTGGTGGTTTCTTTTTCGCCTGCCGATTTACTCAGTTAGTTCCTTAGTGTGTTTTGTAGAGTGTGCTGTGATCAAATCAGTAGTTTCACGCCATAGGTCATCGTAATCGTCTTCCGATCGACTAAAGGTAATTGTCTATAGATTGCTTCTGTTGCAGCCATTCTTTGAGATGCTGCCATGTGTACCTATAGAAATTGTTATGCAAAAAAAAAAATTATCAAGTCCAAATGTATGACTGCCCGGAGAGTGTTGGAGTACGTATTCGCTTGTGATTGGATTTCGGGCTTGAAATAAGTCAAAGTCGCACGCTTATCTTTGCGCTGGTGTTCGCGGGCTTCAAGTGTGTGTTTTAAGGTTTCTACAGAGAGCAGCGCTGTATTTACAATCGTACTTCAGCAAGAACGTCTTATTTTGGTTGCTGTTGGTATGGTCGGCCGGTTAGCCCGCACAGAGATGAGATGGACCAACGTGGCACATCGCTCGACGACGACGTCGCTCGTATCGCCAGCAACATCAGCAGCACAAGACAAGACTGGTTGCGCCCCAAACCAGCCGGTTGGTTGGAGCCAACATCACGATCGGTGGCAGTGGTGGCGGCAATCAGCAATGCCCTCTGGAACCTACGAGCGAAAGAAAGAGATGGCACATGTGCTACTATCTTCCATGCATGGCACACGGGCTGGATGGGGACAGGCAATTCCAACTCCTCAAGCACGAAGAAGAAAGTTTCGCTGGCTGGCTCCCCTTGCCTAGTGGTTGTGGTGCGCACCGGGGAGACCACTTTCAGTCGGTCGTCGGTTAGTCTTTCACGTTGTGTCGTCGCGTACGGGTTGGTCTAGGTTCCGCGGTGTTGGTGATCTAGGTTCTTATTTTTTTGCTCACTTCTGTTGGTTGGATTTTGGCCAATTGTTTGAACAAGTTCAACCTAGTAGTGCAAAAGTAAATCGATAGTGACAAACGACGGTGCTTTCTCGAAACTAGGGTGAAAGGTCAGTATAGCAGTCACTTCGTGGATTGGAGCAGCGCTGCTTTCATTCGAGGTTCAAGTTACCAATTTTGGATTACTACTTGCATCGGATGGATACCTAGTTTTGCCCTATGAAGTCAGGAATAAAACAACTGCTGGTGGTGCAAATGTGAAAAAGTTGACTTGTTTTAATGGAAGCTGTACAGTTAAATTTGTGAAGCATTTTGCTTGGTGTAAAGCAGTTGTTTGGACCCTAATTGATTCAGTGTGTACTGCATTACTATACTATTATTAAATGTTAATAACAATAACAATAATTGATTTTATTTGATAAAATTTATTTTATTATATCAATCGGGTGTTCGCATGTTTTCAGATAAAACTGACAAATTTGTGATTTTTAATAAATCCACAATGAATGGAACTCAACGAAAGAATTGAAAATTAGTAAACCAAGTCATCTCTCATAATTGCGGCTGTGATGTCTTTTTAATTTGTAATGTGTTTTATCAATTGTTTGCTTATTAAACTGGTCGATGAAGCTAATACTTCTTGAAACAAATCGCTGGATTTTAATAAATTAATTCATAGCATTTTAGCAAGGTTTTATAAATCTTACAACAATGTTTTTGATATCACATGCATCTACTTGTTAACACACTTTCGCAATTTAAACTGCATTAACGCCTGGTAGATTACCTTTTCGTTGTGCGTTACTGGCATTAAGATTTACCACCGAAGCCTAGTCCGAACTGCTTCAAACTACGGGAACAGGTTTGGTTTGTAATTTATGCCTTCTTGATAGTGGCAAGAATCGGCTTTGACCACCGATGATGATCTTGAAACAAGGAAAAAATGAGTTGGGAACTTATTTTTCATCTACGTGATTCCTAATCTCTTATTCGCTATTCTCTAGCTTGAAATGGTTATGGCTAGAATTCTGATACATAGTCATAATCAGTGTTAATGTTTGATTGTGTTTCCAAGAAATCCATTTTTGCCTCCGAAGGGTTTAAAGAGCGGGACCTTACAATTAGAGTCGAATCCTTGCGATAAAGGCAAGAATGACAACTGTATCAAAACCGAATACTTCATAATTTCTCAATAGTGATGGAGTTATATGACATGCACTAAACTAAGGACACGGGTATACCACAATAACTGGTTGCAATGGATTTATGTCCCGAACAGAGGAAAAAATAAATAACTAAATAAATAAGCTCATCTTTCAAATAAAACTCAATCAGTATCATCTACTGCATAAATTCTAATTGGATAGAGATTTAACACATCTACAAGGTGCTGATAAAAATTAACTTGATTTTAATGTTTTTAATAGTGCTCTGCAATAGTTGCAATAGCAATCGCTCGAAGATGAGAGTGGAGATTATTTTCGAACTAGATATGGTGCGTTCGGCCTACCGTCTCTAGTAAAATACTTTACGTTCCCTGTAGGTACTCGTCGAATGATTGGTAATGCGCTCATGTACTGAATGGAAGTTGTGGGTTCAAGGTGCGACTTAGAGCTTAGAGAATAGAATTTGGGTTGCCAGAATAGAATATTTGAGAGACGACATGGGAATTTACGGTTTAAGGTTTACAGAATAATTGGCTAGATCAGTCTGAAGCACTGGCGCAGCTAGCATCACAGTGCATTGCTCAGTGTACTGAAGTATTGCAAAATTCAGCTCTTTGCTGATGATGTCCAATTATACATTGTTAGTTCAGGAACCCCTGCTTCTGACCTTTCTGTGAAAATTAGTGAAGGGTTTACAAATAGACTTCTAAAAACATGTTATCTATTGACATTTTGAAAAAAAAAAATCTATTTTTACTAGAAACAGCAGAGGAAATTATATTTTGAAAACAAATATTGAACTTAAAGCGCAAGCTACTAATAATGGAGTGACAGTTCAAGAAAATGACTCTTTTGATAAATTTATGTAAAAACAGTGGGGAAAAATATTTGCACTTTTCCTTGCTTGTTTTTTTTTTTTCTTTGTGAGGACACCAAGATTAAATTGCAGGGTGGCCAGTGAACCGGGAAAACCGGGAATACCGGGAAATATCCGGGAATTTGAAAAGTAACCGGGGAAAACCCGGGAATTCGATGGAAGAACCGGGAAAATAAATAAACCATACTATAGGAACAAATTTTAACACCAGAATTTCAGAATTAACTATTAAAACAGAGTGATTCTTTACCAAATAAATTTCTTGCTCTTTTTGCTGCAAAATTTACTGTAGTTTCCCGTCTTATTCTTTTTATAATTAAATCACTCAGCAAAATTACAATTCGATTTTTGTCGTTTCAATTTCAGATGTTAAGTGCATGGGCCTTTAAAGAAAATATTGGAGATGCTGGACTTTGGAAACAAATATTTGTTAAATCCGAAACTGAACTATTCTTTTCTTTGGTTTTAATTTTTCGTTATTCAAAATTCTCATGACATGAATTCCAGAATTAACTTGGAATTCTTCTCTGAATTATCATGAAATTCTTCTGAAATTAGCCAAAAATACTTCGCGTAATAATTACCATTGAATTCTGTTTTGGAATTTGCTTGAAAACCCTTCTAAGAACTTGATTGGAAGCCTTCTTAAAATTCCCTTGAACGGATAATTTGATTCCTTTGAAATTCTTTTCAAAATTTTATTTTAACTGTATTCAAAACAGCATAAACCTTTCGAAATTTTATTTAGAACCCCCTCGGAGTATTTTAAAGAAATTATTTCTATTTACACTACATTACAAATAAAAGTAAACAAAATTAGCTTCAATGTTTGACCTATGATTCTTATGTTAAATCGTGCACTGAATCCAAAAATGTAGTCAGAACAATTTCAGCAAGAAAAATTGAAATTTCTTCTAAAAATGAAATTTGACTTACTAAAACACAAATATTTCCGGCTGTAATGAAGCTATTTCAATTATGTGAACGCCAAATTAAAGGGGATTTTTTTTTTCGATCAACTGAACATCGTTTGTCAGAGAGATGAGTGGCATTGTTGTTAATTAATAGTTTGTTTATTTTATTTTTATGTTTTGCATATTTCCAAGAAAATTTGATTTCAGCAAAGTTTTTAAGCAAGGTAAATACAAATGTTTGTAGTGGTTGTGCCAACAATACCACTAATTTCACTGAAAAATAGTATTCAGTTGATCGAAAGTAAATTTTCTCACTCTTAATTTGGCATTAATATAATTGAAATAGCTTCTTTACAGCCGGAGATAATTGTATTTTAGTAAACAAACTTTTATTAGGAGAAATTAATTTTTTAAGTGTATCTAGAAAACTATAGGGGAAACGCTCCTATAGTTGCGGTACGTTAGAAGCGTTAGGTTCCTATAGTTGTGTATGGAGTCTCCATGCACAACTATAGGAACCTAACGCTTCTAACGTACCGCAACTATAGGAGCGTTTACCCTACCACTATGATTTTTTTCTGACAACATTTTTGAATTCAGCACACGATTTTACATGGGAAATGACCATCAGCGTACAAAGTTCAAATATGTTGTAAATTAGTGTTATTAGTATTTTTTGCAATACATTTTGTTGGAGCTCTGTGATGAATCTTTCGCACTAGCGTGGAAATAAGAGCTAGAACACTCTTAAAACTCTGTGTCTTGTTGAATTTTCTTAATAATTATCTTGGAATTCTTCTTGAAATTCATCTGTCATTTTCCTCACGATCCTCATTCAAATCTTCTCAGAATCACTTAGGAATTTTTACAACTACTTTTAAAATCTTCATAAAATACATAATAATTTAATTTAGAACTTGCATTCTTCTCCACATAAAGCTCTCCAAATTTATCTTACAATTTCTATAAAAAGAGAGAGAAGGATTAGTATTTTCCATTTCCAGGTATTCCACTAAGACGCCCACATTCATCAGGATTTACAATTTCTAATTCCGAAATTGAATATAATTCTGGAATTCTGCTCAGAACTTCTCCTTCGAAAATTATGTGGGAATCCTCCTCGAAAATTTACAGTTGGACATGTTTATAAAAATGCGTACAATTTCGTTTTTGGTTGAACATTAACAACCGGGAAATTTTTAAGATTTGAACCGGGAACTCTGAACTGAAAATTCACTGGCCACCCTGAAATTGTTTAAAAGCTTACTATTCCCTCACTTTAGTGCATGCA